GGAGGAGGGAAAACCTGCAGTGCAATGCATGAGAAAAGGCACGTACGTACGATACGGATCGGAACATACAGCAGCAACAGGGAAAAGCTGGAGCGGCCCAGATTCCGTCCCGTCCCCGTCCCCGGTCAATCCATCACATCAGTCAGCACGGCCAGCGCAGATTCCCCAGTTTCAATTGAAGAGTCAATCCATCGTGGCGCCCGGAGAACCGTGATTTGCTGGCATGCTCACCACCACTCATCTGATCTGCGAGACATTCAGTGGCATGGGCAACGGACGGCAGAACACGCACGTATGTCGACCTGGCATGATGCTAGATGGCATGGCATGGCATGGCATGGCCCATGGAAACAGAACAGAACACAACAGCCGTATGTACGGTACATACGGTTCGGATACAGCACATCGCAGCACACGCACACACCCACGATGCGTACCCTGCATCCGGACAGCCAGCAGCACCGCGGCCGCGCTGCCTGCGTCGTGGCATGTCATTCACTTCAAACACACACAGTCTGTCATGCTCATGGATGCCCAGCAGGCAGGCTGGGCAAAGAGAAGGTGAGAGAAACCTGTTGACCGTCGGTAACAAAGTCTGTCTCGTCTCGGTCTCTGGTTCGAAATATGACAGAAAATCGTGAATGGTCACGAGCCCGGCCCTGGATCCCTTCCTCGATTGCTCAAACGGGCACCTTGCAGCACGCAAATACAGCCCTGATGGACCATGTACCTCAATTAAGGCCAAATCGACATGGTCCCCGCAAGGTATTAGTCTGAGTCTGTCTAGTCGCCGCCCGCCGCCGCCGCTCCGCCCGCCGTGCGCCGCCTGCTGCTGCTGCTGCAATGCTGGCTGCTGCGTCTTGCTGCCGCTGCCGTTGCCGTCCCCGTTGCTCGCTCTCTTTCCCCATACTTGCAATGCTGCTTCTGCTGCTGCTTTCCTATTTGCTGGGCTGGCGGTCACAGTTCTCTCACGTTCCGTGAGGTCATGAACAGACGCCGGTCGGCCGTCGTGGATCATCCACACACACACACACACACACACATCAAAAAAGAGCACCCCCATCAACCCATCCCCATCTCCTCCGTCCCGGCAATGCACATGCTGCCACCATGGAACGCTGGAGTCTGCGTGATTCTCTCCCCGGCCGGGCCCCTCCCCTCCATCTCGTCTCGTCTCGTCACCTCACCTCAGCCAGCCATCCAGCAGCCTGCCTTTCTTCCCTCCCACCACCCCTTCCAACCAGACCAGACCCTTTCCACCCCTTCCCAGCTCATGCTCCGTACTCCGTTAATTGCTCCATAACAAAGGCCCCATCAAACAAGTCTTTTGTTGGTCTCGCCCCCCCCAAGGGCCGGCCGGCAGAAAAAGGGCCAGAGGGGCCGTCCGTCCCAGCCGCCGTATCTGTTGTCGCATATCGGTGCGGACGGGGGAAGCCTTCTGACTCTCATTGAACACTTCCACTCACTCCCGTCTTGTTCGCGTTCTGTTCGCCCGCCCGTCAGACTGTCCACTCATCTTCCCACTTCTGTCCTCTTTTGCCCAGTTGCTTCCGTTCCGTCTTATCCACGTTTAACAACCCGCCCTCCGTCCACCACTCACGCAGCCGCGCATCCCCAGTCAACCACCCTTCCCGCTTGCTGCCCGTCCATCTCTACACTACACTACCGCCGGCCGTACCATCCGCATCCCCAACGCCTCCACCCCCCTTGAAGACACCTCTTTATTCATTTTTCCCTGGCTAATGCATCCGTGAGCTGACACATCCGGGGAAGGGCTTCCGGCGACTGAACCCAGAACCCAGAAATAACCTCCAAAAAGAGCCGAGGAGCCTCAAATATCTCTTCCCCCAGAAAATCAAACCCATCCCCATAAACCACCAAAGCCTCGAGCTCACCCTCCACAGGGTGGCGCCATGTCAACGGCAATGGACATCGCAGCAACTTCAACAACCATCGAGCCGCCGCTCTTCGACTCGGGCATCGAACCGCTCGAAGGGGCGTCCGGCAATACTGCACGCACCATCCTCGTGGCACTGTGTGTGGACGCGAGCACGCGGGAGAAGGCCCTGCGGAACTACTACAGGCTCATGCACTACGAGCAGCAACTCTGCGGACAGGAGCTCATCCGCAACGCCAGCGCCATCACCACCACTATGGGCTCGACCAAGAGGAAAGCCGTCGGGGAACCGAAGATCTGTCTTCAGTGCGATGAGATCTTCACCGAAGACCAGAACCAACTAGGCGCTTGCTGGTACCATTCTGGTAAGAGAATACTTACTCCCTGTTTCCTTCTCTTCTCTCTCTTTTTTTTTTTCTGCTCACTTTGTCATCAAGACAGCTGCTATTTTCGTCCCTGCCGTATTGCTTGTCTTTTTTGATGGGGTTTTTGGGTTAGGGGGATGGGATAGTGAGCTTTCTCGGTTACCTGAACTAACCATGACTCGTCTAGGCGAGCTGGAACTAATGGATGAGAGCGCCATCGACCGTGAGCCGGCGGAAATGGCGCTGTACGACCTGGACACGGAGCCCATCCGCGCCAGACACCCGGAGGCATTCCGGTGGTGTTGCTGCCGGGAGACGGGCAAGGCACGGGGCTGCACGCCCGGCCGCCACGAGTCCAACCCGGACAGGAGCAAGAAGGGCCGCGGAGACTTCTCGGACCTCGACGAGGACTCGCTGGATCTCGACGACACATCGTTAGATGACGACGATGACGATGATGACGATGACGACGGCGACTCCTCGGAGCACTCGCCCGGGAGCAGCAACCACGACGACATGCCTCATCACCATCAGCAGCGGCAGCAGCAGCAGCAACCGCAGCAGCACTCGCCAGCCAACGGGCGGCATTGACGGGACCACCATCCCGCTTGGACCTTTTTTTCCAATGACGTTGAAAATGAGTTGTTTTGATCTGTTTTCAGTTTGGTGTTTCTTTCTCGGTTGTCGCCCAACACGCAATCAGGGGGCGGGCACGGGACGGCACGGCACGAAGAAAAAAAAGAGGGAAGAGACCAAAGGAAAAAAGTTCTTGCTCGAGCGTCACTTCGCTCTCTTGGATCCGAGTTTGATAGACCGGTCAAGGGGGGGAAAATCCGTATTTTTTTGGGCGTGGTTCTTGTTTCGAGCAATCGGATGGTTCCCGGTCTCTTCCGCGGCGCTGCGGTCTGGTCGGTCAACGGTCACAGCCCAGATACGCGAGATGATGGGCTTTTGTTGTTGTTGGCTAGGGCATTGGGCACTTGTTGTTTTGGGAGGAGCAGCGACAGACGACACATGGTTTTAATGATTTTTTCCTTTCCTTCACTGGGAGGCACAGCATTGGGAATTTGTTCACAAAATGGGCACACACACACACAAGTGGCCTTGTTGATGATGAGGAACACAAACACAGACACAGATCTGGGTATTGGGAAAGGAGGAGGCAACACACGCATACATGCACACACACAACGCAAACAGCCATTTTGGAATTTACTTGGACTTTTGTTAGTTGGTCACCTCTTTTTGAGAGGGGGGAGCGGGGAGTCAGTCATTCTCAGCACAGCGGGAAGCCGATTTCGAGCACGACACTGCGCATACGGCACAGCACATGATTTTTAGTGTGGCACAGAACTCTCACTCGGGGGAGGGCATGGGAAGCGGGCATTTTGGTCATGGGATGGGAGGCAAAGCAAGTCATTGTACTTTATGATTCGAACAACAAAACGAAAGGAGAGGCCAGAGAGACGTAAATTGATCAACGGGGCAGCCCGATTGCGTGTTACACAAGAACCGGGCAGACATTGAAGTTTGAGCATTCTGGCAGGGGACGAAAATGAGCTGATCAACCGATGGCAGAGTTTGTGCCGGCGCGAGGCAACCCAGTTGCCTCGTCTCCCACAGATCAAATGACAGCCAGCAGCAGCGACCGCACTTTTGACAGCGTTGCAAATGCAAATCGAGATTCCCAAAGGCGGTGGCGAGATGCATGCCCGACTTGACCCATGCATGCATTCCGCATTTTTCACGCACACGCGCACATGTGGTGAGATGGGATGGGATGGACTTGTTACCCTCTTCCGGATTTCCCTTGTGTGCTCTCCCAGTCAGAATGCGATATCATCTGCAGCGCGCACTCTGCAAGGGACACCGTAAGCAGCCTAGCATAAGACACATCGGGCGCGGCCAATGGTGTTCGGCGGGAAGAGCTGATGGGCAGTTGGCCCTGTTGTGTCGCCGTACGGATCGATGTGTGCTGCCCACCACCACCACCACCACCGCCGACCGACCCCGGCCCTGCCTCCTGCTCCCCTCCCCGCGGCATGCCAGGCGAGCGACACGCATGCTTACAGGGCCGGTTGGGCGGTAAAGAGAACGGGGGCGCAAGGCACTTTGCATGCTGTCTGTTCGTGCGTCCAATGGGTTCTAGGGGACGGGGGTCCGATTGTGCATGGGCCGGATGCCGCTTCCGTGCCTCCCCGGGGAGGACGAACCCTGATCGGCGCTGGGAAGGGGAAAAGCCCAACGGGCGGAAAGAATGAGGTGAGAAGAGAGAGAGAGCGCGTGTGCTGCTGGAGTTGGATGAACGCTCCGACGGATAGTTCCTTTTCTTGCTGCCATTTCCGTCGGGCAGTGGTCAATCAATGCCTAAGTGGTGCGCAATCATGTTGATTGGTGTGTGGGACTAAGGGGGACGCGTAAAGATGCTCGCGGAAGCGCGTTGAAGGTTTGCCGCGGTGGAGTCTTGTTTCCCCCTGTTCACCTCTCTTTCGTGTCACCAACAAGTCACAGCCTGCATATCTGTCGAGAAGTCTCGTGCGGTCCTGTTCATCCGACGTTGCGTCTAGACCTTTCCAGACGACAATTAAGGTATACCGCTACTTCTCGTCTTACGTCACTTGTCAAATCGAACGTGCATGTACTGACAGATGGATGTAGCTAAGCGGGCGCATGAGGGGCGCATTTGACGCCAAGACACGCGTGAATCCAAGCCGTTCGAGTGCTCACGCAAGGCAGACATGCCCTACCCGTACTATGGCCCGCAAGCGGGTGACATGTCAACGATCTCGCTGGAGCACGCGCAGGCTATTCTGAGATTCCTTTCTCAGGACAGCATCGTCAAGCGAAAGATCCATGATATGCACCAGAACTTGATTGACCAGGATATCGGCAGACGGCTTGAGGTATTGCGGTCAGGGGAACCAGCTAAGCCGCTGGCTATCTGCGTTGATTGCAAGGAGGCATTTGATGCTGACACGTCTCACCGGGGCGATTGCCGGTATCATGATGGTTCGTGAATTCATCGGGAATCGTTAAACGCGTCATTAACGTGTCCGTTTTCTGGGATAGGACTCCTCGAGCCAGACTATGACGACGATACCTGGGCTGATCACGACGAAAGATGTCATGGCCCCATTGACACAGCTGAAAATCGCGAGATGTACCTGGAGGCGTTTAAATGGGAATGCTGCGACGAACCGGGCGATGCTGAAGGGTGTCAAAGGGGTGCTCATAGGGCTATTGAGAGCGTGGAGAAATCAGGCGGCCCGGTGGAGGACTACGAGAGCACCGAAGAGGAAGATGACGATGAAGAAGAAGAGGAAGTCGAAGCTAGAAACAAAAAGGATGAAGACCCCGAAGTCGTCATTGTGGGAGAAAGACAAGTTGTCAACAAGCGCAAAGCTGATGACAGCTTTGAAGTCTCCGTCTATGCCCAGAAGACCAAAAGGGGTTGGTGAATCGGCGTTCGCAGGGCTATGGACGCTTATAGCCATACCGACTAGGCAAGTTGTAGCATATTCTCGTTCGTTATGACATGTGTACTATGAGCTGCGCCCCGGTCGAAATGAACTGTACCAACACGTAGACTCCAACTCATTGCTTGGAGGTCTCGTCGAATGGTTTTGGATCCAACATTTTCATGTTCTTCTCCTGTAGTCCAATTGAACCATATCGCGGCAATTCCAATTATGGGCTTTTCAATTATAGTCTCACGTCTCGTAAATCTCGTGTTCATCGATCATCGTGAAACTAGCCATTTGTCAGCAAGTATTCGACCTCGTACGTAGCGGGAGCTGAATGATTACAAAGAAAGGTAGGCATCAGGACCATCGTTCCTGGATCCGGCAGTCTTCTAAATCTCTCCAAGACCTTATTGTCCGACTTTCTGCTCCTATCATCCCGCGGGGGGTACATGAACAGAGCCAATCGATCTGCCCAGCTTTCCCATGATGGTAACGGGAATCCCCCAGAGTCGTTTCGAACCATTGTCGTCCAAAAATGAGCGTCTGGTACCCAGTCGCCTCCCTTCTCTGGAGACTTCTTATAGAAACATACCCTCACGTTAATCAAGGGGATATCACCCGCTCCACGAGGGGGTACCTGAAGCCATGTCGAATACAAACTTTCATTCTGGTGCCACAGAACATCAAGAAAGAAAAGCCGAGGATTTACTTTGGCCAATAAATCCTTCGTCTCATCGCGAATTTGCCGGTTAACTAACGTCATAGCCAACACGAAGTTGTATGTGTGCTCGGGCTGGTTATTGGACTGTGTCGCATGTTGGAGCAGGTCGGAGCGAAGTGCTAGCCACTTCCAGCCGTGCTTATCATCCGCGTTGTTATAATCCTTGGTGAACTTTTCCGCAGACTCTCGGAGGTCGTCAGCGGCGATAGTATGGTAAATGATTTCGTCGCGAAGCTCGCGCGGGAGTCCGAGGAGCGTCGGCGTAGGCCTCATTTTGACGATGTATTGCGGACTCGAAATGAGATCAATACGAAAAATTTTCTTTAGTTTTTCTTTAAAAAAAAAAAAAAAAATTCTTCCTATGAAGCCAAAATTACAATGACCTTGATGCTCAAAGGTGCGGCCAGCTGACCAACTATGTACCGTATAGTCACAAAAGCAATCAAGGTCTTTAATCGCCACAGCCCGAAAATGTATGTTTGGCTGTCTAGCTGTCTGGCCGGACTGTATCTTCTCTCTACTTACGCTGAACCCCCGGCGCAGGATTCCGGACCATGTCGAGCGGCCGGCCGAGACAAATCCTGATACCCGGCCGGCCGGGATATCGGCACGTTATTGGGCTCACCGAGGCATCTATCATTGCAACAAAGTATTGCCTCTCTTGATTATAAGCGATGTCTGCAAGCGACTCTGCACAGCTGGGATGAACACCGCCTCCAGCCTCTGTCCGACACCTCAATTCAGCCAATCGCATTTCTCATCGCCAAGCCTCCCCGACGTCAAGGGTCCAGATCGAAGGTCATCCCAGCAAATGTTTAGACTGCCCACTGATCCATCGAACGGCCCATGACGTGAATCATAACCGCTACCAACCAGTCGCATCTCCCGGATCCGTTCTCCACGAGGCTAACGCTCGCCCGGGCCAACGAACCATGAAGCCGATCATCCGCCGTCCGTTTTGTCTTTTCTTTCCAAGCAGCTGGGAATCTCCAAGGTCTCAGAAAAAAAGATTGTTGGCCCGTGATTGGGTGAAGCACGCAGGAAAAAGTGAAACACGCCACACTGAGACCTAGCCGCCCACCGCCGTTGGCTCTGCCATTCTCCGTCAAACGTTCGGCCGAGAAGCCGAATAGCTTGTTTGGGACTTCGCTTCCTCTTCCATTTTGAGATGCGCCCTCCAACGGCTGGGATGCCCCCGCCATGAAGAAGCATTTTGCGGCGGAAAGCCTGTGTTTCTCAGCCACTCTGCTGCTCTCCTCACCACCGCTCCTTGCATTTCCCGTCGCAAATGAGCTCAAATGGGGTGAAAAGGCCTCGGTTAGATCTGGGCCCGCGATGGAGATGAGGTCGTCTCGATCGTGCCATGGACCTCTCGGGCTGACGGCTGCCATCGCAAGTTGCCATGCAGTATAAGAATGGCCAGCACCGCATTCCCTCATCCCATCTTGATTTTGGCTTCGGCAGACTAGCAAGGAAAAGCAGGGCGACATCATCCCAAACTCTTTTTCGTGTTCGTTTTCTGCCCACGTTTCTGAAAACCACGTTTTTTTAATTCCTTCCTTCGTTCGATAGTTCAAGATGGTTGCCTCGCCGGTCGTGGCTTTAGGCTTTCTTGGCGCCTTGCAAGGCGCCGGCAATCCGCTTGTGCAGCGGCAGGCTACCGGCTGCGCAACGGGCGTGCACATGATCGTCGCTCGTGCCAGTACCGAGAGGCCCGGTACGGGCATCATTGGCGAGGTCGCGACCAAGGTCCAGGCCCAGATCCCCGGGTCCGACATCACGCCGGTCGACTACCCGGCGCAGCTGAACCCTTACCAGCCGTCTCAAAAGGCCGGAGTTGATGCTATGACGAAGCTGGTCCAGGATTACGCGAAGCAATGCCCGCAGACGAAGATGGTGTTGATGGGATACTCCCAGGTAGGATGTCTTTGTCTAGCTGGATGACAGAAGCTAATTGTGAATGTGATGCAGGGAGCGCACGTCACGGCTGATGTCCTCTGCGGAACGAGCGAATCTGGGTTCGCAGCCACGCCAGCCCAAGCGGCGGATGTCACCGATAAGAGTGCGTATAATGGTGTTGACAACTGGGCAGAAAAGGTCTAACTCTAGCATAGTCTCTGCCGTCGTGCTCATGGGCGATCCCAGCCACGTTGTTGGCCAGCCTTTCAACACGGGAACTAGCCAGAAGGATGGCGTAAGTATAACCGGAGGAAGGATCAAACGAAGACAACAAAGTTGGCTAACGGATACACTCGCAGGTCTTCCCGAGGCAGGACAACGCCGCATGTGGCGCGGTTGCCAGCAAGATGACCTCCTTCTGCGATACCGGCGACCCATTCTGCGACAGCGGAGCCAACCTTCAGGTTCACCTGGGATACGTGACCAGGAACGGAGACGATGCAGTCAAGTTTATTGTGGATAAGGTTAACGGCGCCGGAGCTGCGGGTGGAGCGAAGAACACTACTGCTTGACTAGGAGACGCAGGGGCCGACAGGTCCAGCCTGTTGTGTTTCCAGTATCACATCTTGCTGCTGGCACAGATTGTTGGATTCGTTCTGCTGGTAGCCGCTTGAGCTCAGGTCGGGCTCTGTACAAAGCGTACCTAGTTATATACCAAACACGCACAAATAATCGTTATCATAGGCCCCTCAAAATTTTGAAAAGACTGTAGAAGCTGGCCCAGCCTAAGGCACAAGGTCATTAGATAATGCTACAACAGTCTTAAAACGTGTCGTCGTCGCGAGGATGGCGGAGAACATGTGTTTCAGGCAGCACTGAGTCAACCTAGATCAAATGAGTTAGTATTCTTGATGGTACTCAATTCTTTCTTTCTTAAATTCGAAGTATAAGTGTCATGTTTCGCCGATGCTGTGAATAACCCAGCACGGGACGACGGTTACGATGTCTTCTAAAGGAACGCTTTCAGTATGTGAAGGTTTAGAGATATGTGAAGCGTCCTTCACAATCGAGATTATCCATCTTCTTAGCGTCGGACTCGCCCACCACCAAGTTCACATTCTGGTCCTTGTCTGCCTTGGCTTTGACGATCAAGTTCCAATCCTTCGAATTGCTCAGACCTGCACCGGCCCCTACCAACTGTTCAGCCGAGGGCGGCGAGGACTTCAATGCAACAACTATTAGATCCTGAAGGTCGGACCACGGGATAACACTCAGGACCCTTCCACGCGGCCTCGCACGCTCCTTCGTAACGAACGCCATCAAATGCCGTACTCCTATACTTCCTGCATAGATCCCGATAACCCCCAAATAGATATACATCATTGACAAGGCGAAGTACAAGGTCGCCCCTGAATGGCCTGATCCGTAGCCATATATCTCAGTAGTAAGATGAATCGCTGAGGTTGCATGGCTCAGGTTGACGATCCGGTCATAGTGGGTATTGTGAAAGTGAGTCTCATTGACGAAGTCGTACTCAGAACGATTTGTGTTTCGGCCGTATTGTTTGCTCAAATTTAGCAAGGTTGAGTTCTTGCCTGTCTTTTTGATCCGCAGGTAGGTGAAGTAGCCGGAAGGACTTCTCGAAAGAGTTTCCGTCAGATAAATACCAAGCACTTTCGCCAGAAAAGTACTTGTTGCCGACACGTTGTTCGTATCAACCGGAGAGACGCATGCCATGCCATTCTTTCTAGAAGAAGTGCAAGGCTCCACAAAGAGCTGGAGAATTCGACCGAGTGCTGAATAATGGTGGCCCGAACCATCTTCGTCGCTCTCAACGTCGAAACTTGGAACAATGTAGTCAAGAATAGTGCGGTTGAATGTTATTGGTCGCACTTCTTGTAGTCGGTCCTTGGACCAGTCCTTCAGGTTCAAGGTACTGTTCAACGAGACGTCGTTGCTGAAACTTGAGTTCAGAATATCGCTGGCTTTTGGGTCGAATGTAAAGTTGGATGGCATCCAGCTGGCCATGAACCCGCAAGCGTATAGCAAAACCTCGTTATTATCTGGAAGCTGACCAACAAGCAGCAGAATGGAGGACTTGTTTCCATGAGTTAAAAATGAGCTAGTCGCGGAACGCCCATCCAACTTCGATTTACCTAGCCAAGTCATGTGTTCCTTGGTTACGTAAGGACGTGTACGCTGAATTGACTGGCAGGTCTTCTCGCCGAAGCAGTTGAATGACTCAATAGGGTATTGCAATTCCTTCGGGCCAAGATCGGCGGCTTTGGGCTTATGGGTGGCCTGGCAATTTGACTGTACCAATGGCTGGAACAGTTTGTGCTTCTCAGGGGTTTTGATCCGGTAAGATGCTCTGTATTCCTCCGACGTGGTAGAGATTAAGGACTTTTCTTGGACTAGGTAGTCCGAGAATAGTCCCAGGCTGACCATGAGAAAATGCGGCGGCGTGGTGCTGAGCGTAATCGATGAGCCGGTGTTGACCAGACTCTGGCGTGCCACCACATTGGAAGAGTTGGTGAATACCAGCTCGCGACGCAATTCCGTTGGAGGATACTGAAATCTGAGACTGTCGCCCAGATCACTTGCACCAAAACTTTGAGCCCACGACCAGATGTCACTGAATCCAGAGGCTGGGCACCAGTATGCATAGAAGCCTGCAAATTCCTTACAGGACTCTATGTTGTAAAAAGGTTTCTCGCCTTCCTGCATGATAGAGGGCGAAACAAACTTCTCGTCCAAGGCGTAGAAGAGTGGTGGGCTGGCAGTCTGAAAGTCTGTTGCCTGAGGAGGGGGATACCATCCTAGAATAGGAACAAGTAATACCGCTGAAGCTGGGCCGACAATAGTGGAAAGTATAGTGGCAAAGACAACAAAGCCTGCAAGGAGAAACTCCCAAGGCTTTTGGATGTTTACGCCTTGACGCCAGAACGCAGAGGAACCGAGATACCCGAGGTCGCCAACGCGATATCCGCCGGTAAGAAACCCAAGTCGAACCCCGTCGAGGATGAGGCTCCTTCGGAACATGGCCAGGGCAATGGACGAAAGTGAAGCAATAATCAAAAGCTCGTGAATTTTTGCTGGCAGTTGAAGAAGGTTGTTGATGGCCTCGGCATCAAGCGTGATATTCATGCTTCCCATGTGCAAGCTGATGCCTTCTTCCGAGTACCAGAATCGATCTTGCTGACTGACGATAATAATCGCAATGGTTGAGGCAAGGGCAGGAAAATGGACGACCCATCCCGTCAAGAATCTCAACCAGTTGTTGCGAGTAATCGGCTTCCCCTGACCTCCTCCATACGCAGGAAAAGTTCTGCTGTGTTTCGGAGGCCCTCCCAAAAACGTCCTCGCGTGATCGTGTTGAGCATGTGACGGAGACGGTGGCGGCGAACTGGTTGTCGCCGTCACCGATGATGTCGCACCCAGCGATTCTGTCGGTGTGGCAGTTCCACTGGGCTGCGGAATGGGCTGCAGTGTCGTCGCACATGACGATTCTGTCAGTGATATAGTGTCAATGGACTGCGAAGTGGAACCTCGAGAGGGCAATTCTATTTCGTTTTCCGGCTGGACTGACCGCATGGCTATTGGGCGCAACAAGTAGATAATTCGTGTATTGACTTCAACGCTGGGACGAGGGAAAGAATAAGGAGATTATGGAATGGATTGAAGTGGATTCCAGCGGCAGGAAACGCTCTCATTCACACCAATTCAATCGCCAGACTACTTATTAATATACCTTCCAAGCGAGCATAAGCCACCGCATCTTCGGGATTCGCGTCCCTACCCTACTAAAGGGGGCGATGCAGCAGCCTGGCGATGTCTCAATGTGCGAATCCTTAGTGGTAAGATTATGCGTTGCATCCCGAAGTTTTAGTGTTCATGAGAACATGGACGTTGCTATTCCGCATTGGCATTCGTCATATTCCTGGGCTCTCATTAGAGTAGCAGAAACGGCTTCCTTCTAGCGCTACTTTGGCAACTAAATTTGGAGGCAAATCGCCCCAAGGCTCGGACTGAAATCTGTGAATATCCACCTTGATCAACTGCCAGGCAAAATTGTGCCTCACTGCGACCCAATAAACTGTGCATAGGCTGACCACCAGTTAATCGATTTTGGCTGCACGAGGAATGATTCACGCTGCGGCTGTGTCCAAATGACATCGGACAAACCACACTTATGAGGGGTGTTTGAAGAGGTCCTCTTGTCTGACGTAAACTCTGCATGCTTATGTAGCAACGGACTGCTGACAAGCAGAACGTTGGAAAAGATCTGCCTGTTGCTTCGCCATGTCTATGAAGACGCTATGCGACCGTATTGCCCAGTCGCAAACTCGGTACCGAAACTCCCACGATCTTGTGTTTATGGCAAACAGTAATATTTCAGCCGGCGGCCAATCCTCCCTCCCAACTATAGCATAATGCAAGGGAATACATCGTCAATCAAGATTAAGCTCGTGATTATCGAGGAGGCTTACATTACTGTTACGTTCTTGTTACCTATGATCATACCTTACACGATAAGAAAACCTAGTGGTGATCCCCATCCTCGAAATCCTTTAATTCCCCGTTGAATAGCTTTATATCTTTGTCATCCTCCGAGTTTGCCAGAGAAAGAGACGAGACACTGTTCTGCCCAAGAGTCAGATCATCGTCCAACTCGAACTTAGGGAATGCCCCTGGCTGAAACCTATATTCCCGAAGAATCTCCCTAACGCCCTCACGATACTTCGGCAATGTCTTTCTCGAGTATGCCTCGAAAGCCCTCTTTGAGAACCAAGGGACAAGATCGTTGACCGCGCCATGAATCGCTCGCTTGCGCGACTTTTCGATCTCGACCCCGTCTTTCATGCTCTTGACTCTACTCTTCAAGTACATGGCGGCGACTGCTTTGATGTTCTCCTTAGTAACCCCTTTGCCATACTGACTGAAAGCCTGATCCAAAATGAGGATCAGATCACAGGCGCACTTGAGAATCATCCGCACCGCTGCTGGTGCCTCGAGGAGAGGGGCGCCAAGGGCAAGCGGGATCCCACCGACCACCGTGGTACAGGTGAGGCAGATAGCACCACCCCAGATGACGAAGGATTGGCTCAGACTCATAGCCATGAACGGCGCGAGGTTTCTCCATACAACGCCAGAAAGCACATCGTTGATGTCACCGATGCTGGCCTTTGGAATGCCGAAAGACCCGTGCGCAATCTCCTGACAGAGTAGCTTTGAGATGGTGGGCGTAGTCATGGCCGAGATGACTCCGGTCCCGAGGCCAATCCCCGCAGCAGCTACTGTTGCTCTGAGAAGCTTGAGCGTCTTTTCAATGGCTTGGTCCATTTTTGCGTCGATATCCGGGACCTGGGCAGCAACCATTGCCTCAGATACTATTGGGCTGCTGAAGCTCTCCATGGTCATCTGGATCAATGCCTTGATGGAATGGAATCTTGGTCGTCTGTGGCATAGTACATCAACACATGAATCTTCAAGGGCGACATGCGTTAGGATACATACCTTTAGAGACGAATGCGAAGTTAGCCTTGAGCTCTGGCCAAAATGGAGATGTCTCTGGCTCTTCCGCAAACTTCTGTCTGAAGATGGCCTCCCTTGCCGAGAGCAGTTCGGTTTCATTCATTTTGCCCCGGTTGAAGAGCAGATACTTATCCTTCTTAGTACCAACAATCACAACTGGTGTCAAGGGGCAAATTTCAATGACTTCTTGCAATACATTCGCCAGCGCCGATTGGACTGGACGGTCTGCGTCCGTGTCGATACATAGCCTTTGGAGATGTTGGTTAGATGTGATAGAATAGTCGGCGGGCAATGGTGGGATTCATTTACCATATCGCATGCAAGTTTTGCCTGATATCCGGGCTGCCAGATCTCGCTTCCAGGAACTTCTTGAATGCAGAGACCTCTTTGCTGTTACCTGCCTGGACACCTTCGGAGTCGTGAATGATGATGCCCGGGTGCAGATCAGACTCGAAGGCCTCCTCAATATCATGCTCGCCTCGCTGGTTGGAGTTCTCCTGGGTCTAGTATCTGCATTAGTGCTGGGAATACATAAAGCTTCATATCCACCTACCATTGCAATACCAAAGACACGGTTGAGAAGTGTGGACTTCCCAACACCAGTGTTACCACAGATCAGAATCCTGCAACTCGTAGACATCAAGTCCTGGCGCCAAGGATCGAAGCTCGCTTCCACCTTCTCCGAGAGATATCTCAGGCTACTCCGGAAAGATTCCAAGTGATCCATCAAACTGCCAAGAGCTTTGGGTATTCCCAAAGTGGGATAACAATCAACCAAGAAGTACACGGATGGCTGTATCACCGTTCCGTTTGTAGCTATGCGGGCAAGTCAGCGGGGTCTATGAACTGCGCAAGGGTTGGTAGGCACTTACAAACGTCGCTGTATCCCTTGAGATATCCACGTCTTTGGGTGTCGAAAATGTGCCTATTTCCTAGCGCGAAGCCCTTGAATCCTTTGTTCACAAGGACTTCATGCGTAGACCGAATCTTCTGCTCGCCGTTCGGGCCCATACGTCTCTGGAGTCTCCGTCTCGGAACCTGCTGCAAGTTCCCGTGATTATGTGATTGCCGGAGATCGTACATCGTGATCTCAATGCCACTGGAGTACCTAAATGTCCACGGTTCAGTCTTGAGAAGACTCGCTGGAACATCGGCCTCTAAGATCTTGTCGCCAAGATCAGCAAGCTTCGGGGGCTTGGGAAGGCGAGGTCCATAGGACTATCAATCAGACCCTTGGTATAATTAGGAGGATCATAATCAAGAATGAGACCCTCAGCCATGCTCTCGATCATCATCCACTGGAGTGGGTACAAAGACAGCCCGTCGTGATCAGCGCCTCCACCCATATCTGCATGTGCGCCCACGAACCATGCCTGAATGCACCGGTGGTCCTTTTTTACCTCGGTATTCTCGATTGGATCGATTGGAAGCAGAGGGAAGGTCTTTCGCTCCTCGTTCAACGCTAGGGCATGTCGAATCTCATTGGTGAAGCTGAGATCGGATATGTCGATAGTGTCCTTGCCGAAGGTCATCTTTACAGTGTCGAACAAACCCAGGAATCTGATTCTTGGGGGATCTCGCGTATTTTCGCGTCTAGTAATCTTCGTTAGGATGCGCTGGACGGAACGAAGAGACCCAAAGCTACTCACCGCCACCGGAACTCCTGCCCGGCCAACCCAGTCCTTCGACGCCTAACCCCAAAGTTTTTGATTGCCTTCCACATTGAAGTATCCTTGACATTCAGACCTTCGCGTATTGTGGTGCTGTTCAGAAGTACGGATACGGCCCGGACGACATCTGCATGTCCGTCAATTCAGCTCAATTCCCAATGAACATACCTCCTTACATGCTCCACGGCTGAACCCGAACAACCAGACTTCGTCGTCCTTGGATTTGATCTCTCGGCAGCAATACTGGCTCTGATGATGGACTGCTATTCCATTGTGTACATGGCATAACTTACTGCATATACCTCTTGAATCTGCTCTTCGCAACCTTTCCCAGTCATTCCATCGTTGAATCTGTCCAACGGCATCTTATTGGTACCAATTCCGGGGAAATACTTGGCAATCTGCAGACAGTCAGCTACAAGCAAAACACCTTAAGGATGTGAGCTTTACCTGCTCGACTTCATTTCCATCTTCATCTTTCGTTTTCCCAATCTTTACCGAGGCGTAGATACGGAATACGTTGCTATTATTGCCATGGCCATGGCCTGTACGTAATTCAGCTGTGTGCCTTGTCGTGTACACTGACCCTTACCTTCGCGTCCATCCTCGTTGAACCAAGTGCCGTCCACGCAGACGACAATCCTCTTGTAGCTTGACGGCCGGCTCATCTTTTCCATGGCGATAAGTGAAATCTGGGCCGAAGATGTGAAGCACGGAAAGAAGAGAATCTCAAACACAGACCCCAAAAGCTGAGAGAAACTGGCCAGGTACTGCCTCTATCATTGAGTTGACGGGCTCACCCCACGTTTGAAATTTTAGCCTGCCGCGCGGGACCCCCATTCAAGATTATATTTGCTGCTGTGCGACGATACTGAAGGCAGGCTGCAATGGGGCTGCCTTAGCATGCAGCCCTCACTCTGAGTGAGCCAATCACAGGCATAAGATCTCCCATCAGCTGAACCATTTAGAAGAAGTGGCCTTTCTCTCGAGTTGCTGGGTGAGTGGATAGCTCGACACTTCACGCCAATCATTTACGCTGCTTACATGCTGACAAAATCACATGCCTGGACATAATGTTCCTTGGAAGCCACCTACGCAAAGGGTGATCACATCTTATTCTTGTATGTCACGATCCTAGGCGGACGGCTGTAAAATTGGGTTGGGGGCTGGCGGTAGGTGTGGCTCGACGAGGCTCTGGGATTCTTCCCCTGTATCACGCGAGACTTTGATTGGGTCAAAAAACGAGTTTCTCTCCAGGCATACTGTGATTACGGCATATGCATGTTCCTTCCAAGACATCGGTGCAGACATTTCAGTCGCTCCGGACTTCACTAAAGCCCGACTCGGAGGTACGGGGAAACTCTGGCTGTTGATCTAGAGGCCACAAGAAGTCATTATGAAATGAATCACCCTTCTCTGCTGGCTTATTACAGTATGTTCGCAGTCACATGCTCGCCCTGACATGACTTTTGAGGGACGTTCTTGGTGCCTCGACTTCACCGAAACGCTGGTCTGGCTTGGTTCGAAGAATTCAACCAAGTAAAATGAACGCAGAAGTGCGGTGCACTTTGTGATGATTGGTATCTCAGATATTATGATCGTACACCCAAGCACATCGAAACGTCATCTTCAAGGAAAAGACCAAAGGTTAAGCACATGGCACAAGGATTTGAAGCTAGACGAGAAGAGAAGCATGTTCATTCGGAGGACAGTCTTTCGACTTGTGGCCACAGCAGGCTTAATACGCGAACATGAACGCATGTGCAGCTTGTTGTCGACGTTTACGGCTCAAGCGACGTAATGCCTATCCGCTTGTGGTTATTCGGATGCCGGGCTAGTAAAAGCTTTCATGATCACCCTTTGGCACTAGCCGTAGAGTGCTTGTTTGAAACGGAGTTTGTAAAAGTAAACGGCACACCGTCATCAAGCTGGATCCAAGTTATGAGCTTATATCCCTCTCCAGCTGTTGAGATAGAAGCTCATCACAACTGGATCGACTTCGGGAGCTTTGACATGTCTGACTTGATGGCTTTCGTACCGGATTTGGAGTGAAACGGTGGGAAAAGACAGCTCATTCGCATCTATGGATGTTAGCTTTGGGCAACAATGATGGGACTGTGAAGCAACCTCATAAATTCCAGCTGATAGGCATACTTTCTGGCCTGTGCGGTGATGTTCTTCGAAACGGGAGATATAACGAAGGCCGATAGGGTGTTTTGACGTAGACTTGCCCGGCTTCGTACATGTTAGCTTTGAAAACTTGGTCCAAAGGGGCCCTCAAACAAAGAAATGTTGAGAGGTATAGAAAACGCTCCCACTCAGTTCGCTGATTCAAACCAGAACCTGAACGATGATTGCAGTAAGGTCCCACTGGGCGGAAATGAGCGGGCGAGGAAACTGTCGGAGTTGGAAGCTTGGTGAATGAATCTTCTGGTCGGGGTTCTGATTTGGCAACAACTTAAGATTATCGAATGTTGAACTATTGATAGATTCATGAGCCATTGATAGAAATGATCAAGACGAAAGTCGCGTCTCGACCATATCGCCTGAAGCATCGTTCAGTTCTAGACTGGAAGGTGAACTAGACTTGAAGTTAAGGGAGAATAAACGAAAAGACCAGAGACTTGAAGACGCGCCGCCTGGCGGCAAAACGCGACGCCATCCCAAGTAGCCAAGAAACGCGGACCCCGAGCTGCAGCCCTCGGCGACCATGCAACAATGTCCTTACCCCTGCTTAAACCCGCCTACGGAACGTGGTACCGCTAGTGCAACCAGCATCACACTTGAATACTCATCGCGTAGCTGGCATCGGGCCCCTTTCCCATCTCTTCTGCAAGGCGAGGTAGCCGGGCTGAAAGGTGGGTGACTACATGAGGTGGCTGGCCCACTAAAAGGCATATGCAAACCGCATAAACTGGAGGAAATGTGGAATTAACAAGTCCGGAGAGAGGGTGGGTTGCTACAAAGGAGGCTCGTTCCGGTCGATGAATATGCTCCAGCCTTCTTGCTACACGATCTTGGCTTGAACATGGCCTTCAAAGGGTTGTCAGGGGTAAGGCATCGAAGCGTACTAGATGCGCCTGCATGTGTTGATCCGAAGCTTTTGAAAGGCTGAGGGCCAAGACGTCTAATAAACGAGGAGAAAAACGGTTAGTGCCCTGGGGGACTGTTTCCAGCACCGCGGATCCGTCCACACTTCGGGGGGCATGGAGGGTAAGACCCCGGTCTTCTTTCAGGAAAGGCGATCCGTTAGCGCCATGTCATTATGGCCACATCAGGAAATTTGGCATCACTTCCCTTGGGGTACGCAGAGATGCTGAAGGCTGGAATGGGAGTAGTTGGCAGAAGACGTTGCCGTAAAGCAGTCTGCATTGGTCTGTTGGATCCTCAAACTGCGCCATCGTCAAGGTGCACATCGCTGCAGCCGAATTCCGATCTGTGAACATCGCGTTGACGGTCTCGCATCCAACTGACTTTCGAAATCTGGGTAGCTATCCGTTATGCTGGCAAAGATCCAACGTGGCCAGCTTGGCTCTCCAGCTCCGTGGGTGCTTCCTCAGATCCAGTTTTCGACACCAGAGTGTGCTGTGCCGCTGGAACACATGCAAAGGCGCCGAGACAAGACGGCTTTTCGGAGCGAACCCTGCAATAGCAAAATCAAACCCGCAGGTCACATGTCTTGGCTTGACTACTGCCATGGGTCTATGCCGGCCGGGAGAACTGGTAGTAAGACGCCGTTTGTGAGTGATGAGTCGAGGCTGCAGAGAGACAATTCTCGGTACGGCCACAGCGCCACGCACACCCGACTTTCTTCCAAGTCGGAACGCGGCCGAAGCTTGCCACGGGGATCGCCGAGGCCGATCCTGCTGATGGACGTATACCAGATGTTACAATGATCTACGTATACTTGGCTTTCGTCCTCAAAGATCATCAAGCTGTGATCGAGCTTGGTTCCAGGGCCGAGTAGGGATGTTGGCTTCACGATCCATCGAGCAATCGCTATCGATCTTGGCTGTCAACCAAAGGCTCGACGGCTTGCCAAGCTCACTTCCTTGCGGCGAAGCCCCCCAGATGGGCAAGGGCCTACATGGAATACCATCTTTTTCCGCCTTCACTAGAAAACTGTCTTCAAAGTCTTGATGAATACCATTCAGCTGAAGCCCTGTCGCTTGTGATACACCGTGAAACAGCCACTTAGAAGCTTCTCATCGCGAGAAGCGATACCCGACCGTCAGTCATAAGGCATGGAAGCGTCCGACATCGCCGCCAGTGTGTTTGGTTCATTGCTGGCAGCTTTCGGTCGTAGGATCCGTCCCGCACGCTCACCAGCGGCACAGCAGCGCAGCTTTCGGGTCCGTAGTCCTGAGACGAAGACGGCCGGTAGGGCGCTTTCCTCCGCCACAGCAAGCGGCAGCGTGGCGTTGGATCACGGCCCGGGCAAGCAGGTAGGACGACGCCTGGAGAGCGAAAACGACGTGTGGCTGGACCTAAACAGCGGGATCAGGTGCAAGAGGAGAATGCTCCAACGTTGGTCTTCTCCCAGGTCTCAGGTGAGCAGCGAGCTAACGAGACGACTGAAGCAGCATGTGTGGGGAGTGGAAGGACAATGGTCTGACTAACAGACATGGAAGTCTGGCAGCAAGATCCGTGTTGACGGGTCGCGTGTGAGTCCTGGTGCCTCGTGTGTTGTCGGGCCTTTTCGCAGGGCGGGATTCCACCACTCAATGTGGACCATTCACACGTCGTCGAGGCCGCTTGGGAGAGGGTATCAAAAATAAGGAACAGGATGCCTTTGCCAGTGGCTTGCAGCGGCAGGAAACCATTGAAGGAACCGACAGAAGCGCACGCCCTATCAGACGGCGAACACGGCTTGTCCACGCCCGTTGGATTTGGGGGCGTGATACATCGATTCTTCGAGCCCGAGTCGATGGAGCGGGAGGTGAGCACTTGGCGAGCATGTCGAAGCAGACGATGGAGGTCAAGGGCGTCTGGGTGGGCAAGGGATCGTGGAGACTGGCTGCCTTAGCTCGCGCCGACAGGGTCTAGAGGCGCTGACCGGGCTGGGCTGCCGCTTTGAGGAGAAATTTAGGGCGGAGGAAGGCGGCCCGTCAACCAGATAGGCATAGCGCGGCGGACTCATGGAAGGGAAGGACTTTGAGAGGGGAGTTGGAGAAGGTCATGGGCAATTGTCAAGTCGATCAGGTAGTTTGATGGCTTACTTTCGATGTAGCTGGGACCAAATGAGAGAGAAGAAGAGAGATGAAACTTCTAATTTCATGTTTTCAACTGGCAACGTAGAGCGAATGGTCGTCAGCACTTCTTGCTGTTTTCTGGACTTCTTTCGTGTTGTGACAGGGATGCACTATCTTAAACACAAGCTGTAAGCGTGACTATCCGGCCAACTGTAAGTACTCCCGTTAGCAGCAAACATCACGGAAGCGAGATGAGACGACGTTTCTTAGCGTCTGCTCAGGGAAACGCCGCCCAAGACAGAACCGCCGCTAGAGTAACAGCTGTCCGTCGTTGGCTCTGAGGCCACATGGAAAGACGGCCCGGTTGGAGAAGACGTTTGCTCCTCTCATTTGGATTCCCTGCCATCTCTTTTGGGTTTGGTGGCCTCTTTCTCCAGATCTCCTCCAGCTTTTCTCTTCCCCATCTCACCTCTCCCCAACCAACCCGAACGCCGCTACGCCCGCCGTGTGCCTTGATGCGACTGGCTCGTGTTTTCGGCTTTGGGCTTCGAGATCCCGGGCAAGCGCTTTCACGGAGCCAGCTGATGATTCGATTCCCACAAATGTTCCTGATGTGCTGAAAGAAGCTATTGCCAACAACAAAAATATCTCCGAACAGCTGAGTCGCGGCGCATCACAGTCACGCATGGAATCGCAATACCCCCGGACATGTGCTATTGCCATTGACCACGCAATCCAGCCGGCTCGAGGCAAGACGGGCAGCATCTCCACACGCCCACACACTCCCCCAGATTCAGCAGAACCTTCTTTTGGGCGCTTCTCCAGCGCGTCTCCATCAGGCTGGTGCGAGAAACGGAGAGCAGCACAGCATCTGTAAACACCCCAGTCTTTGCGGAGCACTTCGACCCGCTGATCCGGGGAGGACTCAAAGGCCGCAACCATGTTTCTCTGTCAATCTGCCCAACGCCATTGACAGTTCAGTCAACAACGCTGGCTTGTTTTCGCCAGACACTGGTGTATTATGTCGACTTGGCTTGCCGGCCCGCGTCGTCTCTTCGTCTCGCGTTGACAGGTTAGCTGGACGGTGACCCATTAACGCCCCTGGCACAACGGCACAGCACTGGAAGCCAGCCAGCAAGCTGTCGAGTAGTTGGGGATTCGGGGTTGCGTCCACGCTAATTCAAGCGCGCAGCACACACAACCTAGTTCCCCAGGTGTCCCTCAAGGTTTCTAGATGAGCTGCTTCGATGCCCACTCAATCTAATTCACATTGATTGCGACGCAGCCATCAAAGCCATCAACGAGGGACTCTTGGTACCTGCCAAGCAGTGTCACGCTCCAAGACGGCCACACCTAAATTCTTGAAGAAAGTCCGTGATTCCAGTCGTAGGCGAGAACCGGCAACACCGTACACATAACCGGCTGTCTACTATGCCCATCTGTCGGATGCTGATGGACTGGGCCCAGTGGCAATCAGCACCGCACATTGCAGAGAGCAGGGGGGCCGTACCAACATGGGGTGTGAGCAGTTCGAGGGTGGTGCAACCAACGATCTGCTGCCCAGCCAGTACAAGCAAAGTCCAAGGATTGCAGGCCTGCCGCCCTTTCGGTCCCATGTGGGAGTGGCCCGTTCTTCCACCTGCCCACCCCCTCCCATGCATGGGAGGGTAGGCTCGAAACGGCCGAGCTAAGGATGGGCAATTGGAAGTTGGGGTTCGTTCTTGCGAGCTACCGCGTCTCTCCATCGGAATCCTACTCCTCATCCCGTCTCCCAGGGACCAAGACGCCGAAAATCATAAAACCTCAGCCTGTCCCGCGATCCCTGGCTGGTTCGTCTTGAGTTTCCCATCCTCACCCTCACCCTCATCCCCTCTCCACCTCAGCATCCAAACCCACAGTCCAGACTGTGGTAGTCGGCAACTGCAGCTCTCCTCAGAGTGCTAATACTTCAACGAGGACGTTCTCGGCGGCTTGCCACCAACAGCCAAAGATGGCCGAAAAGGTTGACTCCGTCAACATCTCACCTCACCATGTCGACCATGACTCCGACAAGGCAAGCCGTGCCTCTATTGCTGCTGCGGAAACGTGGACATTTGCTAACGTGCTTGACTTTACAGAAGGAAGTCGAGACCAAGGTGGTCACCGGCTCCGAGGCCTTCAACGAGGCCATGATCAAGGAGCCGCCCAGTGCCTGGACCAAGGCTCAGATCCTGATCTACGCCTTCTCTCTCGTTGGTTTCTTCTGTTCCACCATGAACGGATACGACGGTTCTCTCATCAACAACTTGCTGCAAAACCCCTCCTTCAAGGAGCGCTATGGAGCCAAGAACGACGGTATCTGGGCCGGTATCATCTCTTCCATCTATCAGATCGGTGGTGTCGTCGCTCTTCCCTTCGTCGGCCCGGCCCTTGACACCTGGGGTCGCCGCATCGGTATGCTCATCGGAGCCAGCATCATCATTATCGGAACCTGCATTCAGGCCACTGCCAACGGCACCGGCCAATTCATGGGCGGCCGTTTCCTTCTCGGTTTCGGTGTTTCTATTGCTGCCTCGGCCGGTCCCATGTACGTCGTTGAGATCAACCACCCCGCTTACCGCGGTGTCGTTGGTGCCATGTACAACACCCTTTGGTTCTCTGGTGCCATTGTTGCCTCCGGCACTGCACGAGGTGCACTTGAAATTCATGGAGGTATGTACCAATATCTATTCCGATTCTTTTCTTGTCCATCCCCTTCTTGCCATTGTCTCCCTCTTTGAATGCCTGCGGAGTGGGGCCGTGCGTGGTGGGGCCGGGGAGAGTGAGGCCATCACAACACCAACCCAGCCCCAGATTCAAGATCAACTTCACAACACCATCTTCATCGCTCTGTACACTCAGCTAACGGGATAAAAATACGCTTCGTGGCGCCTTATAACCTGGCTTCAAGCCTTGTTTTCTGGTTTAATCGTTCTTTTCTGCATGTGGTTGCCCGAGTCCCCTCGATGGTTGTTCGTCAACAACAAAAAGGAACAAGCAACCGCAGTGCTCACCAAGTACCACGGCAACGGCAACCCCGACTCCCCTTGGGTAAAGCTGCAATTGCACGAGTATGAAGAGCTTCTCGATATGGACGGTGCCGATAAGCGCTGGTGGGATTACCGCGCTCTCTTCCGCAACCGCGCCTCTGTCTACCGTCTTTGCTGCAACATGTGCGTTTCCATCTTCGGTCAATGGGCTGGCAAGTTGTTTCCTCAAGCATATGAGAGGCTTAGCTGATTATTGTTTTAGGAAACGCTGTTCTGTCTTACTTCCTCGGTTCCGTCCTCGACACCGCCGGCTACAGGCACCCCATCCAGCAGGCCAACATCACTCTCATCAACTCCTGTCAACAATTCGCCTGCGCCATCTTCGGTGCTATGTTTGTCGACAAGGTTGGACGTCGCCCGCTCCTTCTCTTCTCTTTCTCCGCCTGTACTGTCGTCTGGCTCGGCATGACCATCGCCTCCGGCATTCTTCACCAGTCCGAGACCATCAACGCTGATGGTGAATCCGAGTTCCACAACGCGGCTGCTTCACAGGCCTGCTTGGCTATGATTTTCCTCTTCGGTTCCGTCTACTCCGTCGGTATTACTCCCCTCCAGGCCCTCTACCCCGTCGAAGTTCTCTCCTTCGAGATGCGTGCCAAGGGTATGGCTTTCTCCAACTTGGCTGTCAACGCTGCCGGTCTGCTCAACCAGTTCGCCTGGCCCGTGTCCATGGAGAAGATTGCCTGGAAGACTTACATTATCTTCACAATTTGGGATGCTGTTCAGACTATAACAATCTGGATGTTTATTCCAGAGACCAAAGGGCGCACTGTAAGCTTCCCAAACAAATATATTGTTCTCACATCAAAGATACTAATGACGCCGACAGCTTGAGGAACTCGACCACATCTTCGCCGCCAAGAACCCCGTCAAGGAGTCCACCCAGAAGAAGGAGGTTGCCGTCGACCGCTACGGCGACGTCGTCAACGTCCAGAACGTCTAAATCTGAGACACCTCTTACCACGGTGGTCAAAATGTCTAAGCGAGCGAGCGAGTTGTGTTGATGGTTTCTCTTTGCTGTTGGATATCCCTTTAATGTCACAAGGACACGGAGATTTTGGAGACGTGCTGTCTACTTTTGCATGGCTGAGGAGTGTAAGCGCTCGAGACCGTTGCGGCGGCTGTTACGTGCGGCCCTCTTCAAGCCAACCCCTCTCTACCTATATAACATGCCAATATACCATGCTGTATACCCTAAATCCATACGTTGCATTTAATTTGACCATTCTTTCGTTATCTGACAACTGATCGTGCTGACTCTGCGCATGAAAGAAAATTCCTTGGCTAGCTGAGGGTTTGTCAGATGCTACGCCACAGGCTTGCAGGTCTTGTTGCCACCCCATAAATCCCACGGTATTTCATAATGCCGCTCTCGGGGCTTGGCTGACTTCGTGTGGGGAAGTTGTTGAAATGAGGCGGGTTGGCTGCGTCGGGTGTGCGTGTGAGCTTAAACGGCTACATTACCGAAAGGGGTCTTGCTATTCGGTCGGGTAGTAAATATCGACCACCATAGGGACGACAACGACGAAGACGACGAAGACGACGAAGACGACGAAGACGACGAAGACGACGAAGACGACAAAGACGACGAAGACGACAACGACATCAATAACATTAAACAACAACATTAACAACAACGATAGCGACAGCAATAATAGGAATAAAGAGCAATAGGGATAATAGGGATAATAGAGATAATAGAGATAATAGAGATAATAGAGATAATAGAGATAATAGAGATAATAGAGATAATAGAGATAATAGAGATAATAGAGACGATAGAGACGACAGAGACAACAGAGACGACAGAGACGACAGAGACGACAGAGACGACAGAGACGACAGAGACGACAGAGACGACAGAGACGACAGAGATAACAGACGACAGAGACGATAGAGATAACAGACGACAGAGACGATAGAGTGGATTCTAACTCACATACACAAAGTCTAACCAACTGAACATCAAAAATCCTCGACCTTTGAATTTTTCTCCTAGGTTAATGCTTTACCTTCGGGCTATCATGTATTTGTTTGATTTGACTTTGGACCTATATACTTATGGGTGACGAAGTCGGACTCTGTACCTCCCCGTGGTGTCACCTGGGAACTTTCAGCGAAAGAATGCTAGATCAGAAACGCAAAGAAATTTTCGATCCGCGTGTCATTTTCAATCACGCGTGACAATCGCAGTAAAGCACGAGATTCATTGTGGGTGATGCTCATTCGGTCAATCTTCTGAAGGTTGACTGATGCCTGCGTCAATGCTCGGCGAATACCGGGCATTGCCCTTCGCAACACGAAGTATGCCTCCAGCCTTGGCTGGAGATGCCTTCAGTCTTGGTTGGAGATGCCTTCATTCTTGGCTGGAGATGCCTTCATTCTTGGCTGGAGACGCCTTTAGTTTTGGCTGGAGATGCCGATCGACAGAAGCTATTCGACCGGCAGAAGCCTAGCGAGCGATCAGCAGAAGCCCCGCGACCAATAGAAGCCTAGAAGCCGATAAGCTGAGCGCCTCACACATGATCTCTCTACCTTTCCCGCCTCAGCTCCGCTCTACCTCAAATTCGCCCTCCTTTAGATAATCTATCGATGGCATCTCTGCTCGGCTCTACCTCCACGTCTGTCTGTCTATCGATGGCATTTCTGCTCGGCTCTACCTCCACGTTTCCGAGTCTATCGACGGCATCTCAGTTCGGCTCTACCTCCGCATCTCCTCTTCTCGAGACAGTTTGTCGACAGCAACCCTGCTCAGATATGCCTGCTCATCTTCATTACAACGCTGTGGACGGAGCTACTACTTTCATCGTTGTTTACCCAGAAACTCAGCGCATTTGGATCTTTCACCCAATCGGCTCCATGGATCGCACACTTGACTATGGTGGCCGGAAGACATCGGTTACTACGCTTGCACAGCGAGGGATACAGTGAGTTGCCGAGTGTTGCCTTTCTCTTCCCAGAACAACATTGCTGACATCTCAGGACTACAGACACATCGCATCGCCCAGCCTATCCAACGTATGTGGCTACAGGATTGCTGTTGAACAGATACGACTCAAGTTTGATTCTACGCATGAAGATGAGGAAGATTGACTTGGCAAGGTCTGCATTGGCAAGAAGGAGCAACATTTGGAGTTGTGTCTACGCAGACATTGATGGCGAGATCTGTTTGGAGAGGGTTGTTTGGGCTCTTACAACTCGCGGGAACAAAAAAAAGAAGAAGAGTGCGGGAAGGAAACAATAGATCCAACAGGAAGGACAGGAAGCAAAGGACAGTAGGATCCGCGATGGTCCGGGAGGGAGGAAGATGCCATGGAGAGAAGGATACACAAAAGCATCGGGTATGGGTTGGAGAAGGCGACAGGGAGCAATGGGTAGATGAGGGAGTCGGGGACCAGCTGCTGGGAAAGAATTGAGGCGGGAACGGGGTTGATTGGGAGTCCTTGAGGCGCCGCATGGGTATGTTGGGGAGGGGCATGTCTGAGGCAAGACGGAGGAAAACATGGGAGACTGGGACAGGCGACTGGACTTGATCACAATCACACATCAAGGCATCCACCACGAAAACACGAGTGCGGGCACGCATCCAGCATGACAACAACCAGCGCAGCTCGATCGCATCATGACATCCACCGCGAGCCAGCAAGTACGCAGCGCTCAACTCGCAATACTGAAGCCTTCTCGGACAGGTGCACAGACAGGTAGGCGATACTACTGAGATTTCAACCACATGCTGTTGCTGACTCTTATTTTTCTTAGGTCCATCACCTTTCCACAATTATCGAGACGACAGCCCTACCAAATTACTGAGCTCAATCGACGAGGAACAGTCGCGTGGTCGATTTCAACGCGTATCACATGTTGTCGCCACACTTTCCCACGAGAGCCAAACTCCTCAACGCCCAAGCTGTATCGACGTTTCCCCCACAACCAGGATGAAGTGTGCAGACTTTTGCGCACACGACCTAGTCCCCTCTTGGGCATAACCATCTCACCGTGATTGATGTGCCTGGCATCTTCAGAACGGCGACGTCCGGGTGGACCACAGACGACAACCATCTCATCGTGTTTGATGTGCCTGGCATCTTCTGTGCCTAGCATCTTCAGAACGGCGACATCTGGGTGGACCACGGACGAGGACATAACATTGGTCAAAAGCATAGCCCAGAGCTACATGAACAGCCCGAGAACCACCACCCTCGCCGTATGGGACCATGCCTTCCAGAGCTACATGAAAAGCCCAAGAACCATCATCCTCGCTGTGGTTCCCTGCAATGTCGACATCGCCACCCAAGAGATCGTCACCATGGCGCAAGCATTCGACCCTGAGGGAGTCCGCACACTATCCTCGCTGTAGTTCCCTACAATGTGGACATCGCCACTCAAAACCACCATGGCACAAGCATTCGACCCTGAGGGAGTCCGAACGATGGGTGTTCTCACCAAGCGGCAATGCAACAAGTTGTCTGCGAGCTCATCGTCTGCGAGCTCATCGCCTGCGAGCTCATCGTCTGCAAACTCATCGAAGGAAAGCGATTTCCACTGCGTCGCCGCGTTTCAAAGCTACCCTGTTATCGATACAACACAATCGAGATGGAATTCAAGGTCACGGAATTGCGCCCTCGTGGCAAGGAGCCTAAATGACATGCCAACCCCTTCATAGATCATAGCTAGTTGAATAAATAGTCTCGTCAACTTCTCTCCTACTCTCGTTGCCTGAGTTCGTTGAGTTTTGTCTGGACGTCACAGACCACTAATTACGCAAGCGTTCGGCGTACGTAAAGCCACCTCAGCTATCTCTGCCACCTTCTAGAGGGCATCTCACCCTCGCGGAACCGTCTGAAGGAGTTGGACGCGCCTTTCCCGAATCCCAAGAAGCGTCAACCCGACCCATCCGTAACAGCGTCCATCACGCAATCCTCTGAATATTTGCGCCTAGCAGTATGCGCCCCGAATAATCGATCCTCAACGCCTCGCGCCAACGACATCTTCAGCCTCTCACTTGGGGAGGCGTCGCGCACCTCGTCTTCCACCTCCCTGCCTCAAAAAGCCCGACTTCCGCGCTACGCTCTACGCCTTGCATCAGACCAACAGGCGTTACGGACTCTTGAATCTACGTGACACCCCCCGGCCATCAATACCTCACCTGGAGGCCTCGAGTCGTTGCGCGGGCCGACGTCTCCATTCGATAAATAGTGAGCAAACGTGGCAAGAGCCAGCTCCTTTCAACTTTTCATGCAGACAGCTACTTTCCACGTCCGGACGCTTTCACGACGAGGAGCCTACCCTGCGCCTCTCACAACTGCAACTGTTTCTGCTCGATACTCTCTCTGCGTCAAATGCCTACTTACGCCCCCAACAGCGACTATCTCGCACAGCACGCTGTACACATTTCGCGGTTGGTAGACTCCTCGATTGCCATCCTCTGCCTCGAAAATCCCGTCCTTTCCGACCCTTCTATCCGTCAACTTCCCTACGTTTAGGATCAGAATTGCCCCCGAGGCGCCGGCATCGCGTTCCGCAACAGGCTCTCCGACGCCTACGCTCTGCTTCGGAATGTATAAGTTGCCAGAGGCTTCTCGTCTGCCTACAAAGCCGCCCCCGCGGCGCCGGTCCCCAGCCGCATGATTGACGCGCGCCCGTCCCCGGTCCCTCTCCCTTCGAAGAGTAGATTTCCAACATTGAAAGCAGAGAGGACTGCAAGAGCAGAGAGGGCTGCAAGAGCAGAGAGGACTGCCAGAGGGATTACAGGTGGCCTACGCCGGCTTGGAGGGCAACGCCGCTGGTGATGCCGAAACCACGCTCAGGGCCCTGGCAACGTTAGCAAGGCTACTGGGCAGTTCTTGCACGACTGGCGTAGAAAGACTACTAGAAAACTGTTGGTTTTCGTATATTAATTGATGGCAGGCTACCTCTCAGAACCAGCGGATCCAAGCGCGCTTCAAGCGCGCCAATGCTTCCATGGCGGATGCATATCTGGTTTGAAAAGCTCGAATTGCCAGAATCAGAGAGATGGGCGCAGGCCGAATCTGCGCTGAATGACCTGACATTAAGCCACTCTGTCTTTTCGCGTCAGATTCCGGACACTTGTCGCTGGATGTCAAGTTGGATGAAAGTCCTAGCCTCCGAAGCTACGATTCTGACTGTGGTTCTGGGAGTGAACACCACGAAGACACTGCCGGGGAGATATTTGAGGGCAACACCCAAAATGAAGACAAGGAGGATAGGCGGCAAAACACAGAAGACATCATGTGAATGGCAGGAAACCTCAGAATCGCTGGCTTGCAATTTAGCAGGCATCCGTCGCATTCCTTAAGAGTTTCGTTAGCCTAGCAGTGTCAGTTGGCTATCCAGGCAGTGTCTACACACACGTATATCCTCTTAAAGCGACTTTGTCTCCTGCGTACTCACTTTCGTCCTCGTTATTGGTGTTGTCGTTGCTATCTTTGTCGTCGTCGTCGTCGTCGTCATCTTCCTCGTCGTTTTAATTATCACTACCCCTATTGGTTTCCATGCTGCTGTTGTCCTCATAGAAGAAGTATTGGATGTACCACGATCATGCCTGGGTAAGGCAGCTAACTAACACTGCCAGGCTAGCCAGGTTCTTCTTTGAAGGAGGCTTGAAATGGAAACTCTTTTTGGTGTAATATTTACGACGTCAAAAAGCTGAAACTGGCTTTGTAGCCGCCGTCTTCACCCTTTTCACATTATTACTATCTTGAATATGGCCTGTATTCTCCGAATCACCTCGTGAGTTGTATCAACACCAAAATAAGCACTGTCGCCGACCAGGAGACAGTTTTCATCGCAGCAGAGTTACTTAGCGACGTGGTCGTGCTAGTCGGCACACCATCGGGGGTCGTTGCTAACGTCGTCATGGCAGCAGACTTAGTGGTACGTGTAAGCGCCTGGAAACTCTGTTCAGCAGACTTTGTCGGTTCTGATCCATCATCAACCTCAGGATCCTCCCCAGATTCAGAGCTAGATGTAGCTTCTGCCGCTGATCTTGTTTGCGAAGCCCCTTGTATTGATGTTGCGTGAAAGTCTCGACTCCGATCGGCTCTCTGTCCTCCACCTCTTTGACCAGCTCCCCTTTGTCCGTCGTAAGGCCGACCCAGATTGTGAGGTATATCGATATCAGGTCTGCTTGGTCTTCTCAAGCCACCCAAAGCTCTGCCGAGAATAAGGCCGTCTGTGAGTTCCTCTCTCGATGGCAATGGGCAGTAAAGCCCGCCGGTGGAGTGGGGGTGGCCGTCGATAACTGTGAACAAGCATTGAGGTGATTCCTCGCTTTCTTCGACACCTCTTCTCAATTCTTTGGGCTATAAAACGTATCAGTGTAGAATCCTGTTGCAACGTTACGAGAATACCTACTTGACTCCAATAAGAACACTTGGCTTCACAAGTGAATAGGTGTTTTTGGCTCTCTCGAAGATTCTGAATTGATGAACACGCGGGGGTATTCTGACGTGCAACGATGAAGACACTGAACTTGCTCAGGCTTCACGAGATTGCAGCAAAGGCAGCCCAAAAACGCCTCCCGATCTGTCTGTGGACATCGCTGCAACACCGACGAAAGCTCGCAACTCTCCTCGCACTTGGATGTCCCAGCGACAGTCTCCAGAATTTCCTTCGCATCCAACATGCCCGATGCATGATTGCTCTTATCGTCTCGTACCCCACAGTCAAGTATCTTGTCGATCGAATTCCTCTGCAGAAGGCAGACTGCCAGAGATTCCTTGTCGTCCCCGGCTGCCTCAACGCATGTCTGTCCATAGGTTCGGTTGGCGTAGTCCTTTCGGCCATCGAGCAGACCACAGCCACTAGAAAGCTGTAGCAGCGTGGAAATGACAATGAGAGATATTGACATTGTGGTCACTGAGTCCTTGAAATTGATTGGGAGTTTCTTAGGCAAACTATTTGATGTTTGCGCGGATCAGATGCAATTGAAGGGTCTTTATCAGTTCATTCTCGTTGCCTAAAGACCCAGTGTCCACTAGATCGTCTGCGGCACAGGCGGAGGTCCCCTGCTGATTTCGCGTTTCGCTGTTGGTTCCCTGGAGATGGATCTTGCGCAACCCTAGCTCGGTGTTGGCTCAGTTGCATGACCCAGCCACACCAATCCGCACCACTGCCTTTCCGCAACTCGTAAATCTATCACCACACACAGCTGCATCCGTTTGGTTTTCTCGCTTGTATCAATGCCGGTGTGTGCATGCATTACTGTCAACTACAGAAGCCTGACTTTCGATCTGAACGGTGTGTTCACAGTCCTTCGCAACACAGCATGTTGAAAGTTCCATTGTCAGCCGAGCAGTTGGTCAGCGGCACAGCGACGCCCGATGACAGGGTAATCTTGTGAGCGCCAGCCTTCAATTGCTAAACAGGGCATTGATTGCCGTACTGAGAGCCATGTGGCGGGTACCGATGGCGGGGCTAAGCGCAGCAACGGTCCAACAAGGCAGAATTTGCATACTCAACAGGCTATGCCAGCCCAAATTGGTCTGATTTGCCGCTTGTCTGATTCTTGGCAATGCACAGGAGAATTAGATACCTTGAGGGCATTCACGATGCTGGCCAGCAGTCTCAGCCTGAATATCGACCAGGTCTGGGCTTGGGGCGTCATTCCGATACTTGTCGGAACCGTTCCCGGAACAGTGGGTGTGTTGAACAAATCCCCCCTGTCTGTGTCACCGGCTTCGCTAGAAAACACCTCTGGAACACTATTTCTCTTTTATTTCATTGGTCTTTCCCCTTTGGTCAACATATACTGGTTGGCGACAACTGCTTGATCGACCTCTAAGTCTATCTAACGACCGGTGCATTATGCATCGGAACATCTCGCCGTCTTTCTCTACAGGTACTTACAACAGTGAGTGGCCTCAACTCTTTCTATTATTACAGGTGGTACTCTCTGGGGTCGGTGACACGGACACCTCTTCGCTCCCACACACCCTCAATGTTCATGTCTGCTGTTCCCCTGATAGAAAAGTCAGTACACGGTAATGTTTGCCCATGGAATGGTGGTGACTTACTCTTCCCGCGGCACGACTGCTGGCTCAGTCTGTCCTGCTGCAACATCGGGGTTTCTGAACACAAAGTTCTTTTTCTATGTCGGGGGAAAGAGGAGGCCTCGGTCAGCGTGACTTCTTTCCAACAGTTACCCGGTTGTGTGGTCTTACCAATCCCAATGACAGATGGATTGCCGGAGGAGTAACTACAATGTGGTCCGTCGGCTCTTGGCCGTTGATCATAGCCAGAATGTTCTGAGCGACCACCTTCGCTTGCCCGGCACCAGGTCGGGCAGCCTTGTGCGCACCAGAGTCGGCAATATCACCAGCAGCAAACATGTGAGAGTATGCAGCATCTTGGAACTGAAGAGTCGGTCGTACTTTGATGAAGCCGTTTACCGGGTTCACGAGAGGGGCATCGCCGGTTTGCTTGAGATCCTGGAGAAACTGGTTGTTGGGTGTTTGCCCCGTTGCGGGGATGATGAGATCCGCTGAGAGCTCGCGACCATCTTGCAGCTTGACTGAAGTCTGGGAGGCAAGACCGCCAGGTGGGATCACAGCGCGGGAGCCGGTAATCAACCTGAAGTAAAACATTAATGGCTGCTGAGATCGGGGGGATACTTAGGTTATGAGCATACTTGATTCCCAACTCCTCGAATCGAGTCTTGATAATCTCGTCCAACTTGGTGTGGTAAAGAGGCATGAGATGCTCTCGTGAATGCACAAGAGTCACCTCCTTTTCGGGGTAGATTTCCTTAAGATCCGTAGCCATCTGGACGCCCACCGCGCCGCCTCCGATAAGAATGACAGAAGACGCCTTCTGAACCGCCTGCTGATGCGCTCTCAAGGTGTCGACCGATGATGGCTTGTCATCGCCGGGCATGGTTCCAGGGCTTGGCAATCTGGTGCCTGTTGTGACAACCAAATATTCGAACGGAATCTCTCCTGAACCTTGCCATTCTCTATCCAAAATGACGGAATTGGGGCGGAGAGACTTGGCGCGGGCTTGAATCACCTGATGCCGCGATGGGTCGGATGACTTTGAGAAAGCTGCTGTGTATGGAATGAAGGCTTTATGCTCATGGTCTGGCAGGACTGCGAAACGAGGCTGAACCACGGGTTAGTCATGAATCATAAGGACGCCGTGAAAGATACTGGCAACTTACGAACGCAAAGAGATGATGAAAGTGGCTGTGCGGTTCAACCAGCAAGATCTGCCAGCTACGAGTCAGTCGTCACTCTTTTCAAAGTTGTTTTTCGGGAAATTAACTCACGCGGTGGGATGCTGGCAGAGCAGCGGCAAGCTCGCCCACGGCGGCCTAACGCACGGCGAGTTGTTAGCAGTTGTTTTATAGGCAACAGCATAAGTACAAAGAGACACCTACAAGACCGACATACGATCCTCCGAGGACAACAACGTTCTTCAAAGGTTGCAGCATCTTGATTGGTCGGGCAGTAGTTGAGATATCCGAAGTCGTGGGATAGAAATGTGAGTCTTGGCAGCTGGAACAATTGAGTGTTAAGCCCCGGTGGCAGGACACCTCAGCTTTAACAGATTGTCTTTCACTACGAAATCGGAGCTCGGCTCGTATTACGAGACTTGCGCTGTGGGTCAAGTGCGAGTTGACAGTGTGTCGCAATCGCACTACCGGCGGTGGCTGCCGCACGGATTTATGATTGCAAATCTGATTAGATCTTTCTCAGCTCTTTAGAGACAGCTTGCGTTATCCCCCACTTTACCCGACTCACGTTCGGTTTGTTCGGAATTGGTGGCGGAACCAAAGAGTCGGAGCCGACTTGGGCGCCGTCGCCGATGAATAATATGGGGACGTACTCAATCAGCGGGGCCGCACCGGCAATGAGTCGCGGCAATTCAGACCGGCTCTCAGCTTGATTGAATGTCGATACATTATTGGCCTCCTGACGCCTCAGAGCCCGGACCTCCGTCCTTAGAGACTGTTCCGGACGTCGGCGCCAGAGTGGGATTACCGCTTACCATCTAGGTAGCTACCTAGGTAATAGAAGTGATGTGTAACTCGAGACCTTGATTGACCGACCTCAATTTAGACAAATCTTATTTGAGCAGTGGAACAGCGTGGACAGTGATCGATGTACCTCTTCGTCCTTGATAGAAAATTACAGCTGTTCAACTGACTCATTCCTGAAGCGAAATATTTAAATTCGCTCGCCGGTGTGTGAGTCGTCATGATCCATACTCCCACAAACACGACACACGAAAAAACAACAAGAACCAAACTCGCACAACAATCTGATAAGCCCCATTTTCAATCCACAGGCAAGCATAATGCCGTACTTATCGAAAGGCAAGAGGAATAAGGGACGTAAGAAAATGATTTGTTCTCAGCAGTTTCTAGATGACGAGCACCGCGGAGATGCAGTTCCCACTCTCGAACAGGCATCCGACGATGCCTTGCCAGGTTGGCTGATCCGAAGGCACCAGAACCAAAACTCACGACTCTATTCGCTACCCGACGAGCTGATCTTGGAGATCATTGACTGCATGAACGCTGTTGACTTTTGGTTCTTTCGCCAAGTCTCTTACCGCCTCGCCAATGCGTGTGCAGGCTTCCATCTCTACAGTAACCCTCAGAACGAAGAAGATCATCCTAAACTTTGTTCCAAGCGGGAAAGCAATAACTGGATAAGTCAATGTTACAAAAGATACATAATGCTGTATCCTGCTCTTGTCGACAGAAACTGTAGGCACAGATTCTGCAGTTGTGCAACGGTCAGCACACGAACGCAGACGCGACTCGACGCAATCACAAGAAAGTTCTTTGAAACGGATTTCATCACGTTATGGCATAAACAGTTTAATACGTCACTTGAACCAGTGAGGTATCTAGGGGTTACACTGATGGCGCAATATCCGTTCCGCAAAGAGGTTAGAAAGCAGCGTATAGCCAGTCTTCTCTGTTCAGAGTGTATTTCGACAAAGAACCAGAGATATCGTTACGACTCGCCCGTGGACGCTCTGTGGAATCAAGAATGCAGAAAATGCGCGGATGGTCAAGATCCATGGGACTGCTGTTTCCACTACAGCAGTGATGAGACTAAACGTCTGACGTATCCTTACAGCACAAGTGGAGAGCGCTCATACTCTTCCTATTCGGGTCCACTCCAACTTTGCGCTCATAAGACCTTCAACTGGCCCGATATGCACGACAAATTGGTCGATATTGGCACCATTTCAAGCGCTAAAGAATGCGCACAAGACAAGCGTCCATTCGTGGAGTGCACCGACTGCTTCGCGGAAATAATGGGCCACGACAAAGGCATCAAGCAACCTGCCGTTCGCATGATGAAGGACCGAGCGCACTGCTACCTCTTGTTGGAATGGTGCTTGCCGATGTTCAAGCTGCGCGCTGGTGTCCCCGTCACCCTTAGCTTTCTCAAAAAGACCTTCGACAGGGTTGGGGAGAAGTATGAGGCGCTACTGTGCCCACACGTCACATTCTTCGAAGAGGTGCTTCGAGGTTCGCTGCTGAAGAGCTTTTGGAACACCGACGAAGTTGATCCTGCTGTTCGCTTTTGTAATTGCAAATGCAAATTTTGCGGCTTCAAGTATTTATTAAAAAGACATGGCGATCGAGTCTACTTGGAAGGAAACTACATCATCTGGTACCAGCAGTATTGGACGGACGAAATTACACCTGAAATAGGAGGCAAGCGTGGAGGACTTTTGGAAGACCCTACCCCACATGCAAGGCTTTGCAGAGCCCAAGGAATCTCTTGGTGCACAACAAAAGGATGCTTCAATTTGAAGAGGTAATCGCAGGAATGGTGCAAAAGATGAAGTCTGGCGTTTCGGTGAACGAGTCTCAGCTAGGTTGATTGC